ACGCTACAATCACAATTTTTAGAAATAAATTATGATCGAACTACTGCCTCGGCCGCAAGCGACCTCGGCTTTAGTATTTCAACCAACGCAAGTCAAAGCCAAGGTGTGCGGCCGAGACGCTATATTTAATACTCATTACGTCGATAATACATCAAGTAAGGTTGAGACGCTCCAATCAAAATTCTTAGAGATAAAGTATGGTCGAGCTACTGCCTCGGCCGCAAGCGACCTCGGCTTTAGTATTTCAACCAACAAAAATCAAAGCCAAGGTCTGCGGTCGAGGCGCTATATTTAATACTCATTACGTCTATAATACATCAAGTAAGGTTGAGACGCTACAATCAAAATTCTTAGAGGTAAAGAATGATCGAGCTACTGCCTCGGCCGCAAACGACCTCGGCTTTAGTATTTCAACCAACGAAAGTCAAAGCCGAAGTAGTTTGCGGCCGAGGCACTATATTTAATATATTCATTACGTCCACAATACATCAAATAAGGTTGAGACGCTACAATCAAAATTCTTAAAAATAAAGTATGATCGAGCTACTGCCTCGGCCGCAAGCGACCTCGCCTTTAGTTTTTCAACCAACGAAAGTCAAAGCCAAGGTCACTTGTGGTCGAGGCGCTATATTCAATACTCATTACGTCCATAATACATCAAGTAAGGTTGAGACGCTACAATCAAAATTCTTAGCGATAAAGTATGATCGAGCTACTGCCTCGGCCGCAAGCGACCTCGCCTTTAGTTTTTCAACCAACGAAAGTCAAAGCCAAGGTCGCTTGCGGTCGAGGCGCTATATTTAATACTCATTACGTCCATAATACATCAAGTAAGGTTGAGGCGCTCCAATCAAAAATCTTAGCGATAAAGTATGATCGAGCTACTGCCTCGGCCGCAAGCGACCTCGGCTTTAGTATTTCAACCAACGAAAGTCAAAGCCGAGGTTGCTTGCGGCCGAGGCACTATATTTAATACTCATTACGTCCATAATACATCAAGTAAGGTTGAGGCGCTCCAATCAAAAATCTTAGCGATAAAGTATGATCGAGCTACTGCCTCGGCCGCAAGCGACCTCGGCTTTAGTATTTCAACCAACGAAAGTCAAAGCCGAGGTTGCTTGCGGCCGAGGCACTATATTTAATATTCAGTACGTCCATAATACATCAAGTAAGGTTGAAACGCTACAATCAAAATTCTTAGAGATAAAGTAAGATCGAGCTACTGCCTCGGCCGCAAGCGACCTCGGCTTTAGTATTTCAACCAACGAAAGTCAAAGCCAAGGTCTACAGTCGAGGCGCTATATTTAATAGTCATTACGTCCATAATACATCAAGTAAGGTTGAG